CCTCACTGAACCAGAACACGTGAGCCTCTACCCTGCTCAGAAGAGATGGTGTTTCTTTCTGGTGGTTTTATTTAATGTCCATGCTGGTCATTTTATATCGTTTTTAGAAGTTGTAATTGGTGGTGATCTGGTCAGACAGAAGCTACCTATGGGCATGGAATGGATGGAATTGGACTTGGGAGGAACCCGTCTACCCCCCACTCAGAAGGATAGTGATCCTTTATAATGTCAAAGGATCCTACGACCATGTGGAGTCCAATCACGGTCCCGGACGGAGCTCATGCAGACAGGGTGGCTGAGTCCAAAGTCACCACTCACAGGGTTCTGGAAATGTGCAGGCGTCTCCACTCAGCAGGGCCCCTCAGCTCCTTACTTGAGCAGGCCAGTCGTCCTTCAGGGGTGGGGGTCATTATTCCAACTTCACCCACAAGGAAACTCGAAGCAGACTCACATGCCTGGAACGTCAGAGGTGGGTCTGGGACAAGGGTCCAGATCTTCTGCCTTCTGCCTGGTGATGATCTGTGTCACTTCATTAGCAGCTCATCGGTCAGGAGGCAGGTGAGGTCCCCATAGGGACCCTCAAGGAGCTGTGCCTGGTGCCAGCTCCCTGCTGCCACTAGGGGGCAGCATGAAGAACAGAACCCCCCACTTTGTGTCCAGCTCAGGGTCCTTTCCCCCTCACCCAACCCGGCTGGCTCTCAGGCAGCAGCTTCAGGTTGGCCTCTTAGAAGTCAAATCACAATTTCCTATAGGCCGAGAGTCATAAATTGGAAACTAATGTCATACCACTGAAATATGTTACAAAGTGATCATGAAATAAAAAGAAAGAACACATACACGTTTTACAAATAGGTACATAAAAACCCAACATTCAGGTAAGGCTCCGTTTTTTTGGAGGCTGGAGGAGATAGGGCCCGTCTGAATCAGACTTAATGAGGCTTTCCAAAAAAAAAACAAAAAAAACAAGAGTCTGACGAGGTTCCTCCTTCCCCGTGACTTTCCCTCTGGCGAGCACAGCCACTCCTTCTTGCCGCAGGGGCCTTCAGACTGTGATCAGAATGAGGGTCATCTGTCTTGAGCACATTCACTGCTGAGTGGAGACACCTGCACGTGTGCAGAACTCTGTGAGTGGTGACTTTGGACTCAGCGACCCTGTCTGCAGGGGCTCCGTCCCGGGCCGAGATTGGACTCCACGGGGTCATGGGATCCTTTGACATTATAAGCACATATGTGGTTGTGGGTTTGTATGGGGAGTGTCCATGCTGTGTGTGTTCATTGGATTCCCAAGGGAATCCCCGACCCCCACGCCAAGATGTAAGAATGGCTGTCACACACGTTTACTCTTTATGGTGACAGTTTCTTTATAGTGAACGGTGTCTTAGTTCAATCTATGCAGGGTGGTGAGCACATATCACACGGCATCCTCTTGAACGCGAGGATGCACATACATGTGGTGCACACACGTGAGCACACACACACCTGCCCCTCCTGTCCCATACACACACCCGGGGCAGTGTCCTTTGGAGCCAGCACCTCTGTTCTGTCCCTGCACCTGCTCTGTTGAATTCCAGCAAGGTTCTTTTGGGTCGTCTCTCCTCTCCCATGCTGCAGGACAGAGTGGACTCATCTCCCCAGGGCCTCCCTTCCCTACAGTCCCACATTCCGAGGACAGCGTGCATACGGGGAGGGGTTTGGATCCACAGGACCCAGAGCCAGAAAGATCTGGATCCTTGTCCCAGACCCACCTCTGACGTTCCAGGCATGTGAGTCTGCTTCGAGTTTCCTTGTGGGTGAAGTTGGAATAATGACCCCCACTCCTGCAGGACAACTGGCCTGCTCATGTAAGGAGCTGAGAGTGAACACACTTGTGCCCCACCCTGGGGGCCCTGCACACCCTCCTCTGAGGCCCACTGAAAAGTCAGCACTGAACCTGGTGCTCAAATGCAGACTCTTCTCTCCGGACAGAGCGTGTCTTCTGTCATCTCTTGGAGCTGGGTGATGCTGGGGAAGTCTGGAATTCGGTTTTAGAGACATAGATCCTTCTAAATATATGTTGAGTGGACAAGACCCCAACACAGAGGAAGAGTGGTGGAGGGGGACGTCCGAGGGGCGTGACTTGCCCGAGGAAGTGGAGGGCCTGGTAAAGGAGGGACGGCAGGCGACTCCACGCGACCTTTCCTTTTCCGCCTCGTCTCCCTTCGTTCACACCATATGTTAAATTCATTTTCCGCCTTCTGTCCCCGCCCCCTTTTGGGGGTGGGCAGAGAGGACAGGTGAGGCCAAGGGCTGCCGGAGGGCACCACGCTGCCCACAGCCCTGGTGGCCAGGGCCATCGTGTGCCACCCAGCCAGACCTGTCAGGAGGCCCTGGCCTGACCAGAGGCGCAGAAGGACAGCTTGTGGCGCTGTCCCGAGGGTTCATCGCCGGTCCTTCCAGGCCGTTCAGAGTGGAGTGTCTGCCATCTTGTGGCAGAGTCTGGTACTGCCTGGGCCCCGCCGTCACAGCTGCCATCGGGCTGCCCACATGCTGTTCCCGGGTGGTCCCGGACCAGGCCAGTGGGCAGCTATAAGGGGAGGACTCCCTTCACACCACACCTTTCTTTGAGCGGATCCTGGAGACAGTGGCTGTGAACTCCTGGGCAGGAGGCAGGTGTCTTGTCTCTTGGTGGGTGGTGTGGACAGCGGGAGCGAGGGAGCCCTCTGCAGGTGCTGAAACGTGGCCCTTAGTTTGGGCTTTACAAGTGAGGGTGTGAGTTGCTTTCTAAATCTGGACCCTCAGGAGCAAACATTTTAGTTGGTATCTGGATACAGCCGCAAACCGTGAGAGGTCATTAAAATTGGCCAGAGTGGTTCTTTTGCTTTGGACAAGGAATTCACGTCCTGGACTTAGCCTTTGCTTTCCTACAAGCTCTCGAGTGCTTTCCGAAGCAGCTAGCACACCCACAGGCCTCAGTCTCCCTGCCTTCACCGGAATACTCCATTCTCACAGTTTCCTGGTTCCAAAAGCCTGCCTTTGCGGGGCACACGCCAGCGATTGTCTAAGTAACCACATTGCTACAGCTCTCGGTGGGCATAGCCCATCCTCCCCGCCCAGTGAGGTCACCCCTAACTCTGCCGCCAACCACGCTGGTTAACTAGCCCCACACTCTTGTTTTCATCGAGAGTCTGTTTCCTGTAAAACAATCTGAAACCGAATCCCCAGTTTGCCAGGGTTCAGTCACAGAAACAAGCAGCGCTCGAGGTATTTACAGCAGGGTGGGTCTTAGAAAGGAATTGGGCATTCACAGAAACGTTAGCAGGGCTGTAGAAGTGAAGAGCAGGGAAAAGCACCATGAGATCGCAGGATGCCAAGAAGTTATGGAAATTGCCAGGAATCACTGCCGATGACGTTCCTTGCCTGTGGCATGGGGCGGCTGACCCTCAGGAGGCCAGGACGGCACCCAGCAGAGACCTGTGCCTGCACCCAAAGCTGCGCCTTGCAGAAAGCAGCTTCTCCTCTTATGTAGTCTGGCAGATCTTAACGTGAGTTCCTCTCACTGGTGGAATCTGCCCTGGGGCCTTGCTGGTGACAGAACCTGGCCGTGCATTCTCTAAGCTTTCCATCTGGGCAGCACCAGGGTGAGCTGAGTGTCAGGGACCAAGGCACAACATCTGGCGCAGACTTGGACGTGGTGGTGTTAATAGGACTTCATTCTGTGGTTGTGGTGAGGCAAAATATAGCAGGTGTGAATTCTCCGCAGAGTGAGGCACCCGGCAGACCCTCAGTCACTGCGAGTTTACAACTCATTGTCAAAACTGTTGTTAGGATGCCTTCTTGTCCTCACTTCTAACCCCTGCGAGAAAGCCGGGTGCTTCCAAGCTGTGGGGTCCTATACACCTGCTGCTTCTTATCTTTCCAGACTGCTGGGCTTTGGGACCCTCTCTTGGCTGGGGAAGCTGAGCAAAGATTCGGGAAATAGGTGACATTTTTCAGAAAAAAAACTAAAGCCAGGAATCATGCTGGATATTAATAGGGATTCACTCTGCTTGGTAGACTTAAGGACTTCACCTGAAATAGACCAGCAGACAGAGTCTGGCCAGCACCCACCCTGCTTTGCAGGTCTGTCCCAAATGGAGCCAGTGAAACTGGGGTTGAGTCCCTGTGGCCGCCTCATGCTCAATGCTCCAGGCAGCCTACAAGGAGAGGGAATTAGGGCACAGCTGAAATCTGAGAGGGAAGAGGAGCAGCTGAAGTCCACAGGGAGCCATGTCTATTTCCTGATCCGTCTCCTGCCCCAAATAGCTCTGCTGTCCTCCCTGATTTGTTTACACGTGCCTCTCCCCGGCAGTAGATGCCACCGGGCTGTAAACTAGGACACAGAGGCCGGTGACACAGACAGGCCCTCAGGCCACATCCTTCTTGGCCCTCACTCCCCAGGTGCCCCAGCCTGGAGTTCAGAGTGCAGACCCCAGATAATCCCTGCTGGCCAGGACATTCTGCAGGGTCCCTGCTCTGAGAGCCGCAGCACATGGGGGACGCTGTCTGCCAGAGGGGGCTGGGACCTGAGGGCAGAGGGGGTAGTGCCAGGCAGCGCTGCGGCCCTCCTCACCTCTCCCTGCCTGGTCAGTCCCTGTCATTCTCTTCACTGAACCCCACCTGAGTCATTGTTGGGGACACCGGGGAGCCACAGGTATCTTCTCTTTCCCCTGGGAGAGCTTTGGGGCCAGTTTCAGACAGAACCACAGGATCTGAACCAGGGCTCCTGGCACACAACTGAGGCAGCGCTGGTGGGGGTGGGTGGAGTATCATTTATGGAGTTAAAAGTGGATCCAAGCCCAATTTCAGTTCCCAGCCAGGTAAGTGCCCACCCAGATTCCCCCCCTGGGGAATGGGTGGAGCCACTAGCAAAGGACTCACTGCCAACCCAAACCACAGCTTGCTCCTCTGTGCCACCTCCTGGTCCCCACCCCTGGTGCCCTCTGTCTAGCGTGGGGCCTCATGGCGCCTCTCTCTCCCCACAGGTCCTCTCAGAGCACGGCTACGGCTCCATCACCACCGACATCCAGGAGGGCCAGACTTTCTACTACGCGGAGGACTACCACCAGCAGTATCTGAGCAAGAACCCCGACGGCTACTGCGGCCTGGGGGGCACTGGAGTGTCCTGTCCTCTGGGTATTAAAAAATAAAATTTCTCCCCACACACTGGGCCCTGGGGGTTCTGGCAAAAATGCTTTCAACAAATTGGGCGATGGTTTTGGGAATTACAACCACGGCTATTTAGAAGTGCACGAATCACAAAAGGCTTTTCTAAAAACCAGGCTTGTTGGGGTATAATTTACAGGAGACGGATGGCAAGTTGATAAAATGGAATTGATCTTCTAGTAAGTTATGGCGGGGGTAGAGCAGCAAAGTTTTCCAGATTATTCAGCGTCTGGACGAAGAAAACCAATCTGCTGCGTTTTCCCTTCTTGGTCCTGGTGCCTGCCCTGGAGGCCAGGGACTGAGGTGGGAGATTGCTGGGCAGGATGAGACCTTGGACACCTTGTGTCTGTGCCCCCCCCCCCCGCCCTCTAGTGCCTTATGATTTGCAAACCTTTATAGTCTCAGTGCTCATTCGCTCACACGCTTTGCTCTACGGGACCCAGACGTGCATGAGGGGCTTTCTCTCCCTCTGCAGCCCCCTGTGCGGTGAAAAGGGGTGAGGCAGCTTGGTGAATTCTAACGCTTTGCTTCTCACTTTTTTTGTTCTAATAAAAAGCTGCAGTTCATTCATACAAACCTCCTGGCCTCTCCTTATTCGTTTAGGTCGTGTATTTTCCAGGTGCTGTGGGGTAAGCGTAAGGGTCTAGCTTCTTAGTCATTTATCCCCAGATGAAAAACATTATGATGGAAACTTGGGGAGAAAACGCACACCTCTCACTCCTTGCATCAGAGAGGGATCAGATACCTTCCTTCAGTCCCTGCCCTGAAGAACCTCTGTATTCAAAACTAGCAGTGAACATGCAAACGCAGGACAGGGAAGATGACCTTGGGTCCTGGGGGATGGTGCAAAGATGGGGGAGGTACGGTAATGGGTTGGGGAGCTGCTTTCGGGCTGTTGTGGGCAGGACAGTGAGGGTGGCCAGGGTTAGTCGAGAGGCCTCCCTGAGGTGGCTGAGCGCCTCAAGGACCCACAGAAGGCAGCTTATCAAGATCACACAGAGGGGCCAGTATGATGACCGTTGGCATTCCCGCTCTGGGGGCTTTGGTGCTCGAAGGAAAATCTTTCCAAACAGAAAGATCTGGACGTATGAAATGCCCAAGCCAGGGAGGAATTTGCTTGAGACACCAGAGGTGCTTTAGGAAGGCAGTGGAGAGAGAGCTCAGCGAGGTGGGCAGAACCAGGTCACAGGGAACCATGTAGGGACGCGGAATGGGTGTTTTGTTTTATTCTGTGTAATTGGGCAGCCATCGGAGCAGTTTAAACACTTTCTCCCTCATTTGTTTTTTAACCTGAGCACCCGGATAGCTGGGGCGTTGTCTGCCTGCCGGAGGTAAGTGAATAGACTGTGCAGTTGTGGCCTCACCGAGTTTGAAATGCTCCTGGGACATCCAGCGGAGATGTGGAGTGAGGCTGTTTGCTGCATAGGCCTGGAGCTTAGAAGGAACATGAGAAGGAGATTTCAGAATCACCTGCACGTGGACAGCATTTGAAGCTGAGGAGCCTGTTAAGGCCATTAGGGAGGGAATAGAGGGAGAGAGGAGGCCTGAGTGTTGAACTCAGGTGCTCCAACACCCAGAGGTCTGGTAGAGAAGGCGAGCACAGGAGGAAGCGTGCTCTCCCCAGGAAAACCAGGCACGAGTTGCATCATGAGCCCGGGGCAAAGCTCAGAGCACAGCAACACAGAAACTGACCACGAGGCCAGGTCTTCTTGGGGAGGGACCTTGCCATGTGTCAAGTGGCACAGTCCTTGAATCTCAACCTAAGCTTTCCCCAGAAGGAACCAGAGTCTTGGACCAAGCAGAATGCATGGACCTGGAATTAACCCAGGGCTTCCTGGAGTTAACACAGTCTGGCCCTGAACTGATGCTGATCCCTGGAGACCTGAAAAGTCACCGAAGTCCGCTGGGTGAGTGGCGCTTTGTGAGGGCCAGGTGACAGACAGGTCTTGCTCCCAGGCCTTCTCTCAGCAGGCCCAGTGGGTCTGAAGGTATTTATATACCACAAAATGCATGGGGTGGGGGAGGCCAGCATAAGTGAGTTGCTTTTCTAGAATTGTATATGCAATGTTCATCCATTCTTTGGCTCCCTACACTCGGCGTTAAGTGTTTTGAGATCCATCCGTGTTGTGTGTCACTGATCCGTCCCTCTTCATTGCTAAGTAGTATTCCACTGTGTGTCTATAAAGCAATAGATTTACCCATTCAGCCAGCCACTCAGTCTATGACAGTAACACATAAAACTGCTATGGAATTCATGTGCAAGCATTCGCAGGGACGTACGATTTCACTGCTCTTGGGTAAGTAGCCACATGTCAAATGGCTGGGTCATATGACAGGTGCACCTTTAACTATCTAAGAAGCTGTCAGACGCTTTTCCAAAGCAGATGGAACATTTTATGTTATTGCTAACAGTGTGTGAAATTTCCAGTTCTGTTGCGTTCTCACCAATGCTTGGCGTGGTCAGTCTTTTTGAGTTTAGACCAGGTGTCCTCAAACTACAGCCCGTGGGCCACATGCGGCCCGCCTAGGACATTTATCCGGCCCACCGGGTGTTTTTGTCTCTGCTGCCTGTCCTGCTTAGCAGCCGACTCGTCCCGGGGCCCATGGTCTGGCCCTCCAACAGTCTGAGGGACAGTGAACTGGCCCCCCTGTTTAAAAAGTTTGAAGACCCTTGGTTTAGACATTTCCATAGGTGTGTAGTGATAGTTCACTATGATTTCAATTTGCATTTCCCTAACAATGAATGATTTTGAACATCTTTTGTGCTTATTTACCCATCTGGCTATACTCTGGCTATCTGTTCAAATCTTTTTGCCCATGTGGGGGCTTCTATTATTGAGTTTTGAGAGTCTAGATGTAAGTCTGTTATTAAATATCTTTCCTGACAGTGCCTTTCAAGGAATAGAAGTTCTCAATTTTGACAAAATTCAATTTACCAAGTTTATCCCCCACAGATTGGATTTTTGATATTGTACGTAACACATGTCTGTCTAAAATGAGAAGTTTGCTAGTTTAGGGTTTGAGTTTTAGGCCTGTTGTCCATTTTGAGTGGATTTTTGTAGGTGATGTAAGGTATGTCCAGAAGTATTCATCACATGAAGGTGTCCGGTTGCTCCCTCACCATTTGTTGACAGACCATTGCTAAGGTCCGGAAGTTTGCGTCCTCCCCAAATTCATATGCTGACATCCTAGCCCTCCAGGTAGGGAGGTCAGGCACAGCCCTCAGAAAGGAGATTAGTGCACTTATAAATCAGGCCCACACAAGCCCTGATGCCTCTTCTTCAGCAAGAGGCCCCCTGAGAAGGCGTCATCTATGAACCAATAACAGGCCCTTACCAGACGTGGGATCTGCCAGGGACTTGAACTCCCCAGCCTCTAAAACTGTGAGAAGTAAGTCTCTGTTTTTTATAAACCACCCATTTTATGTTGTTTCATTATAACAACCTGAATAAACTAAGACATCCATCCTTTCTCATCTGAACTGATTTTGCGCACCTGCCGATAATCAATCGCCCATATATGTATGGATCTGTTTCTAGACTATTCTGCTTCATTGCTCAGTTTGTCTACCTATATGCCAATGCTACATTGTCTGGATTGCTGTGGCTTACTATATAATTCTTAAAGTTAGATAGTATAACCAGTGAAAACCACCAGGAATTCAGAAGTTCAAATCCTACTCCAGTTCTGAATAAGGACCATTGAATCCTAATGGTCCCCTTTCATCAATCAGCACAAATGTCCCCTACAGTTCTTTAAACCTGGATTTTGTTCTTTATTTCAAGAAAAAAAAAGAGTATTATGAACAGTTTGAAACTGGGAAATTCACAGAAAACTGGACGGATTAGAAATCTGTTGTCAATTTCTAATTTAATTTCATTGTTGTCCCGAAACACTGTACGTTTCGAATGCTTCTAAATTCGTTAAGACTTCTTCCATATGCCCAAATACGGTCTATTGTGGTAAATGTTTCCCATGCACGTGAGAAGAATGTGTATGTTTTGCGGTAGTTGGTGAAGTGTTCAGTATTAGTGAAGTCATGTTGGTGAATGTTTTGCTGTAGTTGGTGAAGTATTCTGTATCGGGGAAGGTGTTGATCTTGGCTTCTGTGTCCTGATGTTCCGTCTACTTGTTTTCTCAATTATTGAGAGAGGCATGTTGAAATCTCCAGCTGTAATTGTAGATTTGTATATTTCTCTGAATAATTTTATTAGTTTTAGCCTCGCATCTTTGGAAGTTTGGTCACTAGGGGTATAACATTTAAGATTCCCATATCCTTGTGATATGCCGACCCTTTGATCGCTATGAAATGACCCTCTTTATCCCCAGCGATATTCTTTGTTCTGAAATCCACTCTGTCCTATGTTAGTATGGTCACTCCAGCTTTTTATAAGTCAGGGGTCACCAGATAGATACTTTTCACCTTTTTACCATTAATCAACTTGAATTTTGATATTTAAAGTGAGTCTTAAGCAGCATATACTTAAGTTGTACTATTTTGGTTAATCTGGCAGGCTCTGACTTTGAGGCCTTTGGACTATGCACATGTGATGATTTACATGGTTAGGTTTAAATTTTCCATGATTTTTTTTTCTACTTTTCCTACCTCTTCTTCGCTTCCCTTTTTGAGTTTTTCCTTTTTGCAGTTTTTGGCTGCAGTGGGGTTTGAACCCACCACCTTCGGTATATGGGGCCAGGGCCCTACTCCTTTGAGCCACAGGCGCCGCCCTTAGGATAGTGGATATTTTTAATGATTCTATTGTAGCTCCTTTGTTTACACCTCTCTGTTGTGTCCTTTTAGTTCCTGCTCTAATGCTGATAGTACACACCTTCAGGGGACCTCACTTGGCTTATTGTTGTCCCCCCACCTCTCTAACATGCCGTCTACTTCCACTGACATCTCATCACTTACTGTACCATATGTGCACCTTAATGCACAGGTAGTATATGTCTATATTTCTCCTCCTGGTCATGTCGCTGTGCTATTTTTATCATATACAGGGTGGCCTTCAAGTTCGTGTGCAATTTAAATTGCACACGAACTTGATGGCCACCTTGTGTAGCAACCTACACGTTGTAGACTTCATAACGCATTGTTATTTGTGCATTGAACAGGCAATGATTTTATAAAGATAGTTGAGAAGAATACATTATTTTGTATTTACCCACACAGTTAATATTTCTAGTGTTCTTTATTCCTTTGGTCGCTTAATATTTTCATCTCGTATCATCTTCCTTCTGCTTGGAGGACTTCTAACATTTCTTATAGTCAGTTGTGCTGGCGATGTGTTCTTTCAGCTTTTGTATTTCTGAGAAAATCCTCATTCCACCTTTGCTTGTGAAGCATAGTTCTGCCGGATATAAAAGTCCACATTGTTGGGGGCAGCGCCTGTGGCTTAGTGGGTAGGGCACTGGCCCCATATGTTGAGGGTGGTGAGTTTGAACCCAGCCCCGGCCAAACTGCAACAAAAAAAATAGCTGGGCGTTGTGGTCGGCACCTGTAGTCTCAGCTACTCAGGAGGCTGAGGCAAGAGAACCCCCTAAGCCCAGGAACTGGAGTTTGCTGTGAGATGTGA